CAAACGTGCTCTATTGGATTAAGGTCAGGGGACCTCGATGGCCAGTCCATGACGTTGATTCCAGCGTTTTGAAGGAAATTTCGTGTCAACATCGCGGTATGCGGCCGAGCATTATCATGCTGGAACTGTAGACCTGGGCCATGAGCCGCCATGAAAGGAACGAGTTCAGGGGTGAGCACCTGGTCGCGGTAAGCAGCAGCTGTGAGGTTTCCACGGATGACCAGAAGTCAGGAACGGTTGTTCCCACAGAAAGCACCCACACCATGCAACTTCCGCCCCCGAATCTGTCGACTTCCTGTACACAACATTGGGCATACCGTTCACGACGTCGTCTCCAGACTCTATGCCTGCCGTCCGCGAATCTGAGGGTAAACCTGGATTCATCGCTAAAGACGACTCGATTCCAGTCTCTCTGGGTCCATCGGAGGTGACGTTGGGCCCACAGCAGACGTTGACGTTGATGAAACGGCGTCAATATTGGCCCATGATATGGACGTCGAGAATGGAGATTGGCAGCCCGCAACCGATTTCGAATGGTCTGTGAGGACAGTCGACCTCTAAACATCTCAGCCCTGGTTCGTGTAGCCGGCAGAAATCTGTCACGTAGGTGACGTAGGACGATTTGACGGTCTTCTGCTCGTGACGTCACACGTGGACGACCCGACCTTGGGCGATCAGAAGTGGTGCCAGTTTGTTGTAGACGACCTCGCAAGTCATACACAGTACGACGGCTGCATCCCATTGCTCTTGCGACGTCAATAACTGATCTTCCCGCTTGCAACATGCCAACGGCACGTTCACGTTGCACATTTGACAATCGTGGCATTTCAAGTACCGTTAGAACTGTGGTTTAAAAGTGTTTTCAATTCTTGAGGCCAATGCAAACACGTGCATATGAAGAAAACTTCGATGCGAAGATCACGTGATCGACTGCACGTGCAAAACCTGATTTGGCACTAACGTCATTTGCACGACAAATGGATGGGTTTGAGTGGGTTTTGCTAACGTTTTTCTAGAGTCGAAAGATAGGGATCCCATTTGGGATACATAGATGTTTCATCAGAGAAAAATTATTCATTATTTTTCAAATTACATTTTGTGAAGTTTCTTTTTTGACTCAGTACATCTAAAAATCAATGGATGAACAATCATCAGGCAGTCGATGAGGTGACGGTGTTTGGCAGTGGTGAATGTGCGGGGCGGCCATACACGATATTGAACTGAGAAATTTCGCATTTTTATTCTTGTGACTTGACATTCTGTATACCCATGTTTTGTTCGAACGGCGATGTAGCCTAATGGAACTGATTATGGCACTGTCAGTGTACATCACACAGATCTCAGCAATGAAATGATAACAATTTAACCATCTACCATGTCTTACTCTTTTATAGTGCCCTGAAGAAAGAATGTGAAGTTTCTTTTTTGACTCGTAAATATTTGAATGTATAAAACAAAACAAAATAACTTTGTAGAAATGTACTCTATGTCATTTGTACTTTTGGTCATATGGCGTTTCTACAAACAAATTTCTTAAATATTTAATCTTAAATATTCACTCATTCAGTTATAAACATAGACATGAAAAGTGTCCACTCATCATTTATGAGTCACAGCAGAGCTTGGATCACAACTCATCTTTACTGTGAACAGACTATGACTGAAAACTACTCGTGGGCGACCGTTAATCCCTTGTTAAATCCCTAAAACAACATTTAGGGAGCGGGCACAGTGAGGTTAAACCCTTTGGAGTGACGAGTCAACGCTTTGTTCAACAGTGTTGTAAGGATGAGTGAGTATGAATAAAAAAACGTTGAGAACACTACTCAGGTAGACACACCTGTCACCACTAGGTATATATGTTTATAGGACATAATATTACCCTCCCCGTCTCTGCTTTGGAATTTGTGGTGTTGTCTCCTGCTGTTATCATTATTAGCCGGAAATAATCAATTTCGGTTCAGACAAGCGGGTGACAGGAGTATGACAGTATGCAAACCGACAACATGAAGAACTGTAGAGAACTATGTGGATAATTGAAACTTCCCAGTACATGCAATAGCAATATTTATAAACACACATATACACGCACACGCAAACGCACACGCACTCAAACACACGCAAGCACACACGCATGCACACGCCTGAAACCATAATTGCTTATAAAAGGTTTGGTCCTGTGACACAAGCGTGTAAGGGTTATCTCCCTTGCACAAGTCATTATTTCAGTCTATCTATAGACACAGCACAGACCATCTTTCGTCAGATTTTTTGTCATTATTGGGTCGTTTGAAATGCACCTCACAAATTCACAGTAAATCAGGTCTAATTTATATACTGAATACTGATACAAACACTTGGGTTATCATCGTTGATTTATGAATCAGTGCGTCCACCTAATCTCTGCAGACGAGGGCAGACGCTATTCACCCGTGTATTTCACAACAAACAGACCTGCCTTAGAATCGATATGGTGGCCAATGACATTTCAACTAAATTGTAAGGGTGAGTGAGTATGATTAAAAAACGTAGAGAACACTACTCAAGTAGTGAATCAAACTACACTGGCCCAAAAAAGAAACGCATAGGTGAAAATCCAGTGTTATCAGTGATGCTTTAATAACTTAAATTACACACAAAGTAATGATAATAGAGCAATAAAAATTCACACAGGTATTGGGACATATGTATCCAAAAACATACAGTCATTCACAGTGGTATTGAGAGTCTCTGTTTTTGATGGCACGGTAACAAAGTCAGTATCTGGTGTGAGCACCTCGAGCCTCAATCACTGCTCTGCATCGCCTGGGCATAGACTGTATAAGACGTTGGATCCGCCGTTGTGGGATTTTTCTCCATTCATCCTGCAACGCATCGACAAGCTGTTGACGTGTCTGTGGTTGCGGCTTTCAGCGTTGGACCCGTTGATCCAATTGGTCCAACAAAATGTTCAATTGGTTTAAGATCCGGAGATTTTGAAGGCAATGGAAGAACTGTAATGTTGTTGATGGCAAGGAAATCTGTTGTAATGCGTGCTGTATGCGGTCTTGCGTTGTCATGCTGGAAAATTTTTCTTCTAGCTTCAATTATGGGAATAACATGACGTACCAGGATTCCATCACGATAGCGCACAGCATTCAAAATCCCTTGGACATGCACCAGCTCTGTTCTGTCATTCACAGATATGCCTGTCCACATCATTACACCTTTCGCCGCCGTGTCTGTCGACATATCTTTCATTTTGACGTCTGTAAATCTGCATCCTGCCATCATGTCGATACAGCAGAAACCGCGACTCGTCGCTGAACCAGATCCTCCTCCAGTTCAAGAGGGTCCATGGATGAACGTTCCTGCTCCATTGAAGACGTGCACGACGATGGTGCTGTCGCAGAACAGGTCCTGTATGTGGTCGCATCGGTGGGATTCCGTGCTCTCTTAGGAGATTCCTGATGGTTTGTGCAGATACTCGACGCAGCCCAGGAACATTGTCGGCGGTGTACGCTGCAATGACGGTCCGATTTCGCAGATGAAACACCCTGATAAAGCGGTCTTGCGCTGGAGTTGTCACCCTTGGTCTCCCTCTCCTAGGACGATAACTGGTCGAGTTGTGCAGCGCGTAGCGCTGCCAGAGACGGGAAAACGTACTCTGCCTCACGTCAAGATGCCTGGCAACTGATGACTGGCTTTCTCCAGCTTCCAAGTGTCCAAATGGCTCTGTTTCTGCTTTCTTCGTTTAGTCGTGGCATCTTGAGTGTCGCATATACAGAATTTCGGGAGAATGAATCGCAAACACGACTGCTGGCATTTTATACCCATTAGTATCAAGATTCAGATCCCGTATTTGCACGTGCATCATGCTTTCAGATTTTTCTACATGCAGATTATACGGGGCTTTTTTCAAGGTGCTGTGTTTTGGCGAATAATCAACAAAGGTTGTGTTTGCGTGTGTTGGATAATTGTATGGGCTATATTCACACTTAATATTAACATTGACAGTCATTCCATGCCATATTTGTCGAAACAATCTACTTTGAAGATCAGAATTCAGCTATGCGTTTCCTTTTTGGGCCAGTGTATGTCGTTCTGCCAGATGCGACACTCCTTTCACCACTAGGTATATATATTTATAGGACATGATATTACACTCCCCGTCTCTGCTTCAGAGTTTGTGGTGCTATATCGCTCCTGCTGTTATCATTATTAGTCGGAAATAATAAATTCTGGTTCAGACAAGCCGGTGACAGAAACATGGCAGCTGTCAACATGAAGAATTGTAGAATACTTTGTGGATAATTGAAACTTCCCAATATATGCAATAGTTTTTTTTTTAATCAACACACACATGCACTCAGTCACTTACACACACACACACACACACACACACACACACACACGCACCTAAAACCATAATTGCCTATAAAAGGTGTGGTCCTGTGACATAATATCCTGAGATATACCTCGATGTGTGTAAGTGTTATCTCCCTACAAGTCAATATTTCACAGTCTATTTATAGACACAGAACAGACCCACCTTTAGCACTTTCGTCATTATTGCGTCGTATGAAATGCACCTCACAATTCCACAGTAAATCATGTCTACTATCACAGGTGGATTCAGGAGGGTGGCGGGTGTGGGGATGTGCGCAGGCGTGCACTTACCCAACACCACTCTACCCCCAGAGATAGTGTATTTATAGACCACTGAATAATGAAGTGTACATCCCCAACCCAACCCACCCCCGCCCCACCCCTTTCTCAAAACCTGTATCCACCCCTGTACACTGAATACTGATACAATCACTTGGGTAATCATCGTTGATTTATCGAATCAGTACGTCTATTTAGTCTCTGCAGACGAGGGCAGACGCTGTTCACCCGTGTGTTTCACAACAAACGTGCAAGGACTTCCTTAGAATCTATATATGGTGGCCTAGGGCAACTCCAGATGATATTACATGCATACAGGGAATATGATGATGTAAAATGAAGACATTACTTACTTAGTTAACTGTAATTAACTGCAGAAGTTCTCCCTGTCTCAACTGGGTTTTGTGCCTGGAAATCACGTATAGGGAATCACCTATACACCAGATCACGTGGTGCGTTTCCTGATCACCCATTGGCACATTTCTCACACAATGAAACATTCGTTACCATTCGTCCCTTTCCGTAACCTCAAAGAGACTGGTCCCCCGGTTTTCCAAGTAAATACCTTTGGACTCGTCTGTTGTAAAAAGTGTAATCCATTGCAATATTGACAATACGTCTACTTTCACTATGAATGCATAAAGGGGGGTAATCCTTGTAACACAAATAGAACGGTTCAAAGCAGGTGCAGTTGCAGTGTTCAGATAACACGTTCGAATCAAACTGTGACATGTTGTTCGCAGTTTCAATAAATTATTTAATATATATTTCTTTGGTTTCTTGTCACTGTTGTATAAAATATCTGTAAAAAAACAACCAAAACAGAAATAATACTTTCAAATTTAAGGGTACGGTAGTTGGCCATAGGTGAGTCATCATTAGTGAAATTTCCATAGACTTAGATATCGTTATCTAATACACAGACACTTAAATGTTAGACAATAGTAATTTGAAAAACAGAGTTTCCATAGACTGAATTAATATAGATTCACTCGTCAACACTCGCCCCTTTCTGTTACCTTCAAGAAGATTCGTCCCCTACTGATGGAATTATTTGCAAAAACGACCAACCAATCAGATTGCGTGTAATGACGACACGTACTTCCGTCAAAAAACATCCCATAGGAATATGTTTGTTTTATTTGTCTTAAAATAGACCTAACTGTGTTGAATCATAATGTTTATCAACAAAGTCATACTTGTGTTAAAGGCACCGCAACAATTGACATTCAGACTCCTACTGACTGAAGTGCACCAATTTAGTATTTTCGGAGGACTGTTGGCATAGTAACGAAAGTAGATTTGGATACGCTGAATATATATCTAACACACCAACGGACCGTCTAATTTCTGATACTATGAACCTCCCAGACTTAATTATATTTTCTGGTTCCCTTGGATGAAGGCAAATAAAAATCAACCAGATGATATTAACAACAGAACGCCATTTAGTTAAACACTGAAATCTATCAGGACAGTTAAGACAAATGTATCATACAGAGATTAGTGAGTGAGTCAGTTCAGTTTTACGCCGCACTCAGCAATATTCCAGCTATATGGCGGCGGTCTGTAAATAATCGAGCAGACAACCCAGTGATCAACAGCATGAGCATCGACCTGCGCAATTTGGAACCGATGGCACGTATCTACCAGTCAGCGCGTCTGACTACCCGATCCCGTTAGTCGCCTCTTACGACAAGCATAGGTTACTGAAGATCAGTTCTAACCCGGAACTATAGAGATTAACCCAGTCAGCATACTGACAAGGATAAGATGTCTTCTGTGGGTTGACTTGACGCCCTGCTTCACCTGCAACTAATACAATTCAGTATAAAGCAAGGACACGTGGAACATTTTGTATGTTCTGTTAAAATGTTTCGTGTGTCGGGGATGCACACACAACAGACACACAGATGGAGATACATACAAACACTGACACATGTACCCGAATCACGATCATACACACTCTAACAGTTCCCTGTAGTTTCCAACTCCCCAAGATATTTAAATCTCATCACTTAAACGCTCTCAGCGTTGTCTGATATTATAAGATGCAGTGGTTCCTTCCGCACGACATCCATGTGTCTTTAGTTTCCAGTATTATTGTCTCATCTTCCTGTTCCGATTCTTCCCTCAGAGCTCATCACGGGACACGATCTCGGGGTTACCTGATATGATGGGGTTCCTTCTCGCAGACTTCATGTTCGTCCATTTGTCCCCGGCTTTAAGTTCAGCTTCCGTCCTCCCCATCATCTCCTTGTCCTCATCAGCAAACTCTTCAGCATCTTGAATCATCTTCTCCATATATTTAGGAGGAGGCTTCTCCCCGTCGCCGTACTTAATGACAACGTTGTTCTTGTTGCCAGTCCCTATGTCTTCAGCTAATACGAGGGGTGGTGGGGTAGCCTAATTTTTTGAGAGAGAGAGAGTTTTATTCAGTAAAGGGGCCACAGGCCCATTATACATCAGGTGTACAGAATATACAATTATTGGAGCACCGTACAACATCATGAGAGCTGCACAATTATACATTTGTGGGTACGAAGGCTGAAAGAAATTTATTTCGTTTTTTCATGGCAAAGAATGGATATTTTGCAAGACAATTTATAGTATAAGTATTCTTTGATGTAAACAACTGGGCTAATTTCACTTCAGATGGATATATGTGATAATATTTAGGAGGATATCATTTCTTAATTTCCCATAAAAGGGCATTCCAGGCAAAAGTGATATTCATTTTCCATGTTAGGTATGATACAAAAGCGGGCACAGGCGATCCTCCCTTTTAAGACCTTAATGTCTACCGTACTCTATCATCAAATTGTGGTTTGAGGCAACGAAATCTACTTAAGAAGATTCGAAACTGTTTTACACTAAAACTATCGATATAGAACTCGAAAAGCTATACCTTCTTTGAGCCTGCAATAAAAATCCACTTCGAAACAAGTATAATACGAGATGACCACAACTGGTTATCTATATCAATACTTCTTTGCTTAAATAATGATATGAAGGTAGAGATATTTCCAACACTTTGACTGGCCCACACATTGCCAAAACCATAACTGTACAAAAGAGATTTCACCTTAAAAGCCCAACAATCTATACCTTTTCAGCAAGACAATACTGATACTCATATACCTTATTTAAGATTACATTCTCAACTTGGAGACAGGAGGCGAACCCAATATTTAACAATCTTAATGTACTGATTTACCTTTAATGAATGACGACCAATCTCAGCACGAGCTGCAATATTTGGCGTGTATCTTGAGAGACCCAAACCTGTTTACAGAACCTATCGTACATTCAATACAGATGGCGACGGGTGGAAACACCAGACTTCACTTCCGTATAGTAACAATGGCAGAACCTTGACATCAAAAATGTGGAGCAAAACATTAATTGGTAGATTATAAAAATTCTTAACCGATGATTTGAAAATATTCAACACCTTCCATGCTTGGTCAGCCAAAGTTTTCTGTGTAATATACCATGATCCAGAGGAAGAGAAGTGAACACCAAGTATTTATGTGATGCGACAATTTCAAGCAACTGTCCATTCAAATGGAACTTTTCATAATGTCTTAGTCGACCAGCCTTCCCTGAATACAATAACTTTACTTTTATCAAGATTTATTTTCAATTTCCACTTGTTGCAATACGAAACTAGCTTGTCTAGCCTCTTTGCAGACCTATAACTGTAAAGTCAAAAGCGCAATATCATCAGCAAACAATAGGATGAACAGCTCAACTAAGTCTAGATTGATACCCCTCTGACCATCAGCAGATAGACAATCAACAATATCGTTGACAAAGAAGGAAAAGAGAAAGGGAGATAACTGGCATCCCTGACGAACTCTTGATAAACAATCAAAACGGTGTGTAACCATCTCTCATCGACACACAGCTTTAACATTTTGGTACATATTTTTTCAATAGCCTGTAGGGTATTACACTTTCACGTTGCCAAGCCACAGTTTGTAAAGGGAGACCACACCCTATCGACTGAGTCAAAAGCTGGCCTTCAAGTCAATAAATGCACAATAGAGGCGACCTTTGTAAAGTGAAAGATATTTATCAACTATAGCATTAAGAATAAATATATTATCATGTGTTTGGAAACCATACCTGAACCCTGCTTGTTCGTCAACGAAGAATTCTTCCCTTTCAGCCCAAGAGTTTAACCTGTTGTTGATAATTTTACAAAATATTTTACCAGTTACTTCAAGCAGTGTAATAGGTCTATAATTCCCAGGGCAATCAGTTTTACCTTTCTTATACAAAGGAATTATAACTCCATACGTCCACTGAGGTGGATAAATACCTGTAGACAAAATGCTATTGAAAAGAGATTTCGATAAATCAATACAATGATGAGGTGCATTTTTAAAAAATTCAATTGGAATGCCACTGAGTCCTGGTGCTTTTCCATTATGCATTTCATGAATAGCATTAATTATTTCTTGGTAGGATATTTCTTTATCCAAATAGTCATTGTCCACAGATGAATCAATAAGTCTATCACTGATTGAATCAACAAAATGATTGACAAAAATATAGAAGTGTTCTTCATCGGCTGAACAATAGGAAGACTGAAAAACATTCTTGAAATGATTCATCCAGTCAAATGGTGTAATATTATTGTTTACAAATGATGATTTCGATTTGGTGGGGTAGCCTAATGGTTGAAGCGTTGGCTCGTCACGCCGAAGACCCGGGTTCGAATCCCCACATGGGTACAATGTGTGAAGCCCATTTCTGGTGTTCCCCGCCGTGATGTTGCTGGAATATTGCTAAAAGCGGCCTTAAACCAAACTCAGTCAGTCAGTCAGCTGTTACGTACACAATACCATTCACTTCTATTTCAATGGTAACATTAATCTAAGGAACCCCTCTAGGCGCAGGCTGGATTCCTGTAAGATAAAATTGTCCCAGGAAAAGTTGTTCCTCGTCATGGTCCTCTCGCTTTCATAGACGGACCTCGAACTAAGTCATTCCCAAGTTCACAGAGATAGACCAACAAAACTGGTTAAATAGAATGCCAAAGCTTAGAACTTACAAACTCTTCAAGTCAGCATACTAGCATCCTTACAGCTTGTTCAGCTTGACCTTAGCTACTCTGCATATGCATGACCCGGGAGGTCCATACATGGATTCGTTACAGAACTTGTCCCGAAAAACAACACTTCGGAAAAATACACATTTCAATTAATTGAATTGTTCCTACAGTCATATGCTATCTAGTTTGGTGTACCGACTTTACAAATTACAAACGTCAGTTACTTTCACAATCCGATTCACTCTCGCTATCACTCTCTACACCCAGTTCAATTATCACTTTTTCTATTTCATGTTCAACTGCAATATTCGCTTTCCAAATTTTCAACATGGGCGCATCAATCAGTCCACTCGTTTACACCAATCATCTGACAAAGGTGCACCCCTTCACAATAATAGACTCAACAGTTGTGACACGGTCACGCAATTCATTAGTATTCACTTGATCAGGTCAAGGTCAACAAGCTGTAACCTCCTGCCTGGTACCTCTTAATGAAACTGGAATGGCCAGTAAATAAATAACAGAACAGAACAATATAAATATAACACATTGCTTATAATTTAGACCAAAACGTTAACGTAAGAGTTTTAACATCAACCGAAAGTGGGACTGTACGTAATGGGGTACTTTTTTTAATTATTATTATAGGATATAATTTATATAGCGCACATATCCACGCACTAGTGCATGCTCAAGGCGCTGGTATTTTTTCCCTCGATCACAGACGGATCCAAGGACGATGGCCAAGTTGCCAGCGCTACAGTCATTGGAGTCAAGACTGTCTCCTCTAGGATCCCCGACAACAGTTCTATTTTCACCGCTGAAGCCAAGGCTATCTTCTCAGCTTTGACCTACATTCAACAGCAAAATCAATCCAAAAACTTCATCGTTTTTACAGATTCATTATCCTGCCTTCAAGCATGGGTCCATGATTATCAGTTGCACTGATATGATGCTTGAAATAGTTACAAATTGTTTCACAGCGTTATTAATATTCCAGAAAATGTTTGTTAGAACCTGCTCGTTTGGTTCGCCTGATGTTTTAGTCAGTTTGCGGTAACCGTTCATCAAAACCTTAAGCTGTGCTTACAACTGAAATTTTCCTAGTTACGCCCTTGTCTGTCGACGGGTATGTTGTTTTTGTGGCAAAGGCACAACTCTCACATAGAAGGCAGAACAAAATGAAGGAGAAAACCGCCGGTGTATGTACAGACTCTGTAGTTTGTTTCAGGATGTATAAGATGTACAGCCGGATACAAATTGTACAGAGGGCCATGGGGAAGGTCGGTCAGAAGTAGGATAATGGACCGGTGGACTTTGCGTTCTGGTGTCACACAGACATGACACTGGAAGAGGTAGGAGGATATTGAGACGCTATGATAATTAGAGCTGAATCTTTCTCTTTTTGTTACCTTATTGATTGAGAGTGGTCATGGCGTGGATGGTGTTGGTAAATATGTTACGTCTATGTCACCACTACTCTTAACTGCATCCCTATCTTTATACACAAATATATATTTGTTTCATTCGAGTCTCCACTCTACGTGTTCAGAAACTACATGTATTACCTCACTGATGGTCTAAAAGCTCATTCCGGTCTGTGAGCTATGTTCTGAACGAGTGATTGAAACACAGCAACGTAAAGCATTTTATCATCCAAAACTGTGTTCCACAGGAGATATGGCTTGTGTGAGATCAAACGATATCTCCTAGGAGATATCGTTTTGACAGTAGATTTTGTACAATGCCCTGACAATGCTATGACGTCATGTATATGATGACATCACAATGCTATGACATCGCTACACTGCAAGTCTAATGGCAGTACCGTGTTCAGAGATGTACATTTTTTCATTGAAAATTAATGAAGAGTGATTTTGGATGATAAATAGAATCTCACCCTCGTATCTTCTGATATCAAATATATCAACACTCGTTGATAAAAGTTAAAATATCCTCGGCAAGCCTCGGATATTTGTAACTTTATCAACTCGTGTTGATATAATTGATATCAGAAGACACTTGGGTGAGATTCTCTATCTATTCCAGTAGATGATGTTCAGTTTCCTGACCCAGGAATATATTTATTTAACGAGGTGTCCAATACACTTCCACTCATTATGTCTCCCCGAAAGAGCAAGAATACGCTTATCTATGTCAATGTAATTAGAATTTGTAGTTCAATTGCAACAATAAAACGATATTTGTATGATGTTGGATGCCATTGTAGCACGTTGTGTCGTGAAGACAGCGTACAGTCTTTGTTCTGCTCCCCTCCTTGATATATCTTTTAGGTGTGATGTTATGACTGCCGATGCTTACATAAACGTGTGTTTAATGTTTCAGTTGATCATGCACGAAGGAGTACAGGACACTGATGCTGGTGTAATATATCTATGAAGTCTGAATGCCTCCCACTGACAAGTTCCGTTCCTGACCAATTAACAGACAACTTGACCACTGATCACGCAACAACTAGCCGACTGATGATCTCCAGGGAATATCTAAAGTGTGTTTTTCTCCTGGTGTTGAAGGAAGTCTTGGGTGTCACGAGTTATCTCATTTGCACAGTAATAAGTGGGAAGGGTGTGAAAGATTCTAATAAAATAATTAAAAGCGATTACCCAAAATTGATGATCAATTATGCTTTAAAGAACTATGGACCGATAAGAATCTAACAAATGGCAATAAACTGAGGACATTTAAGAAAGATAGAGGTAACATCACAAAAATATAGAAAATATTTATCACATTTGTTTGATGTAGAAAATAATGGAAGTGCAAATGAGCACGTGTGTGATGTGGGATATGTACATTTGAAAGTATTTGATGTAGGAAATACAAGAAGTGTACACTTACGCTTGTGTGGTTGATGATTTAGCTTCCAGCAATTCACTTATATTATTATTATATTAACATTTGTATAGCGCCGATATCCAGCTCAGCTGCTCAAAGGCGCTTTGTTTTTTTTCCCTCGATCAATGGATGCCAACATCAACACACAGGGTTGTGTACTGTACACTAGGGTTGTGTCAACACTGAAGGAGTCTGCACACAAAGTGACTCCAAGGTTTTTACACCCGGTCACATGTGGAATCGATCCCGTCGTATATTTCAGTGCCAAAACCTGCTTTTATATCTTGCAAAGAAGAAAACATATTTTATACGGATAGATTTTATACTGTATGTACCTATATAATTATTTATATTTATTATTTATAATGTATTAATACATAAGTCTCTCATAACCCTTAAAGACTGGCTCACTTATATGCTATATTTTATAAATATATTCATATATGTATTTTATGTGAGGTGAGACTGAAATAACATATCTGTCTGTCTGTTTCCTTTCAGGAGATTCTGAGAAGGTGCCGACCATTCGATTTTCCACTAGTCTCAGGACGCCAAGCTGCGGTTTCCTTTGAAGGTTAGATTCTGATAAGGCGCTCAAGCTCGCTGGATCACTAGCCTGGCGCCTTATAGACAGCTCGCCCACCGCGCCCCCACCACCACTTTGTCTTTTGATATTCATCTTCGAAATGAGCCCAGCTCTCAAATGAGTCAATCTCAAATTTTCCGATCAGCAAAGCACATTGTTGCCCTTGTTGAATGGATAAACGTCTTACAATCACACTCAGTTCATAATCAGTAAGAAGGATTGTTTTAATACAATTACGAGAAGTATGAAACAAACAAACCTCCTCTTTGCTTATTTGACTATTTGATCTCGACTAGATACTTGATCTCGACTACATACTAACTGAACCTGATTCCACACCTTCGTGGATTAAAATGTTCTTTCAAATGATTGAATACACAAGAAGTGATGTCCGGAAATATGTCTTATTAGTCGCTATTTTTCAGTGATTATGGACCAATATTATCCACTGAAAATCAGTTCTTCAAATTATGTCAGGAAATATGTCTCAATCATTTTTCAGTGATTATGTATAATCACTGAGTGAATCAGAAATTATACGTCATAATCACTGAAAATTTCAGGGATTATACATAATCCATGGTTTTACATATTCACTGTAACATATACAATACAAGATGTGTACATTTACACTTGTCTGATGTAGAAAATAAAATGATTTGTGCATGAACACTTACGTGATGTGAATATACATAATTTGTATATCTACATGTGTGTAATGTGGAAAATACAAGATTTCTGCATGACCACGTGTGGGATAGAAAATACAAGCTGTGTACATGAACATATGTGTGTAGTGTAGAAAGCAGAGACATGTACACGTGTGTGTGTGTGTGTGTGTGTGTGTGAATGAAGGAGAAGAAGAGGAAGAGAGAGAGAGAGAGGTACGCGCCTATATATTCGTTTGTTCGTTCACTTCTATCATGCTATCACATTCTTCAGACCCGACAATCGATACGAGCCGCTCCCTAGTATAACAACATCCACAACCCGCACTGAATAATGATTTCATCATTTGCTGAACAATTGCACCAGATTACGACTGCAGTACACCGACAAACGCTTACGTGTACATAATGATACAGTTGGGTCCTCGGCTGTCGTCAGCCAATCAGACAACAGGAACCCCGCCTCGCTAACCAGTGGATATAGGCCACGCCACTCGCAGCGGCTTATACCTACACTGGGAGATAAAATGGTTATTTGTCTCCTGCTCTTGCCAATATGGCTTTATATATCTCCATGTATGTAATCTTCACACTGTATTCTCCATGAGATATCAAAGACGATGGGGTAATATCCCAAAGGGCGACCAGGAACGACAACAGCCTCCCGCTGTATTTCATTGACAACGCAGGTACGTGAGCTAATTTTAACTCACTATTTGATTGGTTGCTGCAATTGCAAAGGTTGCCCCAAATAGGGATAGTATCTTAAACGGAACAATTTATTATATGAACGATTGAATAATCTTATTCTATTTATCGTATTTATTGATATACATACATTGAAAAACACTTGGAACGTATCTAATTTATTGTTTTTGGTATAATATTTATGTGTCTAGATTGATATCAACGAATGATATGTGGCTGAAGTGAAGGTAACGTACTAGATTTACTATCTAGTAGGTTGCGAAATACATGCTTTCTGAAGGGAACTGTACACTGCAGTTGTAGAATTGTCGGTTATTGCAACAACGCAGCTGAAGTAGCTGTGGTAGTTTGGCCGTCATGTATTTAAAACTAGACGTACCAGTGATTGATATTATGAGCAGTTCCGCCGGGTCACGGTGACACGAAATGAAC